TGCTATGAGCTGAAATCACGCCACTGCACTCCAGCCTTGGCAACAAGAGTGAAGCTCCATCTCAAATTAAAAAAAAAAAAAAAAAAAAAAAGTTTAATTTACAAATTAGGCACAGTAAGATATTAACAACAATAAAATATTATAACGATTATAATATACTATAATAAAAGTTATGTGAATGTGGTCTCTCTCTCAGAGTGTCTTACTGTACTGTAACACAAGTAACTGAAACCCTGGAAAGTGAAACTTCAACTAAGGGGAGACTACTGTACATACTCCATTTACTGCAGAGCTCCAGCTATGAGAGACAACTGCAGATAGGATGTATACATATACAGAACTGCATCCCACCTTGCCAGGCATCTCTAACAAGCTGCTGAGGATTGATTGAACAGTAACAGGATTTCCACGAGCTGTTGCTTTAAACAAAACACAAAGAGTTGCTTTTTCAGGTTTTGGCATGCTTTAGGAAAATTAAATCCATATGCATTTTAAATTTCCCAGCATCAATCTGTGTCATCATAAAGTTCTTAAAAGTCAAACGCTGTTTGGAAAGTCCATCAGCCAGTGAAAATACAACCACCAGTTATAATACGTTGTTTTTCTGCGAGATACAACCACCACTAATTCCTTTATTTACTGACTTGAACTTGGAGGGAAAATTAAACAATCCACAGAGTCCATCATGGTAGAAACCTTTTAAATCACAGCTTCCTGGTATATAAATCACACATATAAAAGAGAAGATGGCTATGTATGCATAAAGATAAGTATCTTAGAAGTAAACAACTGATCTTGGATTTGGAAAGACAGCAACAGCTAGACATACTTCAAAACATGGTAGAAATGAATACTATGTAATTATGCATTTAATAAAGTTTAATTTAAGGCTCTAGAAGAAAGGGAACGTTTCCATCCTGCCACTATGCTCCTTCCAAACATAAGAAGTCCACATCCTTCCTGTCCTTTTAAATTGTGATCAAATGCTACCTCCTTTAGGAAGGGTCTCTGATTCCCACAGTTGGTGCTAATTTTCAGGACTTACTACTTTTGTACTTTTTTTTTTTTTTTCCTGAGACTGAGTCTTGCTCTGTCGCCTAAGATGGAGTGCAGTGGCTCGATCTTGGCTCACTGCAACTTCCGCCTCTTGGGTTCAGTTGATTCTTGTGCCTCAGCCTCCCGAGTAGCTGGGATTACAGGTGCATGTCACCACACCCAGCAAGGGTTTTGTCATGTTGGCCAGGCTGGTCTCGAACTCCTGACTTCAAGTGATCCACTCACCTCGGCCTCCCAAAGTGCTGGGATTACAGGTGTAAGCCACTGCGCCCAGCCACTTCTTGAACATTTTATCTCCTCTGTGAGATTTCACCTTTTTAAAAAATCCCTTACCATATTATCACATACAACAGGCAATTCAAAATAACATTCGTCAAATGGGTGTCCTGGAAACGCAACACAATTCTAGTCTAAGCTCAGCCAGCAACCAGGAAGATATTGAACTCTGGGCTGGGGAGACTATTTGTCATCCCATTATCCTTCTCTCAACTTTCCTATTTTATCTATAAAATAATGTGTTTGACTAGATTACCCAAAGGATCCTTTCCAATCCTAATATTGTCCATAGGTCATCTCTGGGGACTTATGAGCACTTCTAACACTGAGTAGCCTTACAATAACCATCAATGAACTGACCCAACCAATCTTTCGGATCCACTTGAATTTTTCCAGTTGTGTATTAAATATATTTGTTCACTCAAAAGTACTTTTTGATGTTCCCGCAAAGCCACTTAAATGTCATTATCCTCATCTCCAGTTTATTGGCATTACTGTATTATGTGCCTCCAGTCCAACAAGGACCCTCGCTATGAAAATATCCTTGGGTCATTACTGGAAACCAATTTAGGAGAATTTCCTCATTTCATAGTAGTAAGCTTCTCATGATGCTTTCATAATCTTCGGAAAGAACCATTATTTTCTCCAGTATTCAACTCAAATGTATCTTGGTTATAACCTAAGTAGCAAGCAATACTCTCCTGAACTATCTGGTCCTAGCAGGACTTTTAATCACTCAACTTTATTTACAGTGAGTCAATCTTCACATACTAAAATACATATTATTTCTTATTATGTTTCTTGAAACTCTAGCATCCAAAGTATTCCTAGCATGGACATAGTCATATGAAATCCCCTTTTCAGGCCCTCTATAGTAGGCCCTATCCTACAGAAAAGCATTAAGTCCTTTTCTCCCCACTCATGTCTCCTAGGCTACAATGGAAAGTGTTTTCTCACTGAAGGAGTACCATGTGAATTCAGCATAAACACTATATCCTCTCAAGTATTCAGAAAAGTGCCAAAGATGCTTGCTGAACAACGCACCTATCAAAAGAGATGCCCCCAAATTTTTATGAAATCATTTTAGTCAATTTGGTGTAAAAGAAAACTTGGAGCCAGGTGCGGTGCGCCATGCCTATAATCCCAGCACTCTGGGAGGCGGGCAGATCACGAGGTCAGGAGATCAAGACCATCCTGGCTAACATGGTGAAACCCCGTCTCTACTAAAAATACAAAAAATTAGCCAGGTGTGGTGGTGGGTACCTGTAGTCCCAGCTACTAGGAAGGCTGAGGCAGAAGAATGGCATGAACCTGGGAGGCAGAGCTGCTTGTAGTGAGCTGAGATCGCGGCACTGCAACAGCGCGAGACCCCGTCTCAAAAAAAAAAAAAAGAAGAAAAAAGAAAAAAAGAAAAGAAAACTTGGGAAAACTTCCATTTTCAAAGTCTCCTTCAAGTCAGTGTGGTGGCTCATGCCTGTAATCCATCACTTTGGGAGGTCAAGGAGGCCCTATTGCTTGAAGCCAGGAGTCTGAGGACAAGCCTGGGAAACATGGCAAAACCCCACCTGTATAAAAAATACCAAAATTAGCTGGGCATGGTGGTGCATGCGTGTGGTCCCAGCTACTCAGGAGGCTGAGGTGGGAGGATCACTGGAGCCTAGAAGAGTCGAGGCTGCAGTGAGTCATGATCATGCTTCTGCATGCCAGACTGATCAACAAAGTGAGACCCTGTCTCAAAAAAAGAAGAAAAGAGAAAAGAAAAGAAAAGAAAAGAAGAGGGCCAGGTGCGATGGCTCATGCCTGTAATCCCAGCACTTTGGGAGGCTGAGGGGGGTGGATCACGAGTTAAGGAGTTCAAGACCAGCCTGACCAACATGGTAAAACCCGTCTCTATTAAAAATACAAAAATTAGCCAGGCATGGTGACACACCTGTAATCCCAGCTACTCGGGAGGCTGAGGCAGGAGAATAGCTTGAACCCGGGAGGTGGAGGTTGCAGTGAGCCGAGATAGCGCCACTGCACTCCAGCCTGCACGACAGAGCAAGACTCCATTTTGGGGAAAAAAAAAAAAGAAGAAAGAAAAAGAAAAAAGTCCCCTCCACCTCAATAAATCTGACTGTAAAATGGAAGGAAGAAATTGAACAGTACTATACTGTCCACTTAATTACTCAATTAATATAAATAAAGGCTGAAGAACTTTAAGGAATAAAAATATTTTTTAAAGTTTCTATTTGAGAAATAGTAGAATTTTTGCATGACTTGTAATATACAGGAGAAAAAAAAACCCAGATTTTTCCAGCGAGAGGTCTCAGAGTCAGGGGAACAATTTAAACAGTGTTGCCACAAAAACAGTACAATTCAGTACCTCACTCCTGCTTGTTGACTTTTTCAAAGTTCTTCTGTTCTGGTATAGTTTCGCAAAGATAGCATAGAACATTTAGAATAGATGCAGACAATCTGAGAGATGAGTACAGCAAGAGGGAGGGCGCCCTGAAAACAAGAACTACAGGCCAGACCCATTCTTGCCCAAGAGTTGAAGTTAAAAATGCAAGGGGTTTAGGAACCTATCACAGCAAAAAAAGTGAACATCTAGAGCTCTTGAAACTAACTTGTATGTTTTCTATGTCCCAGACAAATTTCCCCAATAATGAGTCAGGAATTACACAAAACAGAGATTCAAAGAGAATAGTGGCTTGCTTGGGATTACAGAACTAGTGAATAATGGCTATACAGTTTGTGTAACTCCCAAACTCATGTTCTTTCCATAGAACATGGAAAGGATGCCTGGATTCAGAGGCCTCAAAAACATGAAGACAACGTATGGAAACAGTAAGAAGTGGTGCAGTGGCTCATGCCTGTAATCCCAACACTTTGGGAGGCTGAGGCAGAAGGATCACTTGAGCCTAGGAGTTTAAGAGACTAGTCTGGGCAACACAGTGAGACCCATCTCTATTTCTTGTATATAAGAAATAGCAAAAATCTAAAACAGGCATCACAAACTAACAAGGACTACAGAACACAGTACGTAGTTATATGCACATGAATTTATTGCATCACAAAACTACCCCAAAATCACAATTCAAGTCAGATTCGTTGACGTTATTTATTTTATATGTAGCAAGAAAATAGAAGAAAACAGCATAGAAGCAAAATCTAAATGAAAAACTGTTAGATATATCTAAAATGAAGAGATGCTGCTAGTTTTGCTTCCATCTCTTTTAGCTGTAATTTGCCTGCATATACTGAAATAGAATCTGACAATAGAAAAGAGTGTTTTATAAGCCATCTTTTTAACATGGCCTATTTGTATTATGCATACTAAAGGGGAAAAAAAATTTCCTCTAAACATCACAGAACAATCCAAAGTGGAAAACCTTACAGAAATATTTGTGGGACTACTTTTCTAGCTGTAGAATTCATATATTACATCTAATTATTAAGTAAACCTTGTGTTCAAAAAAGCATGACATTCAAATATAAAGTTGGCAACAGAAAAATAGAAACATAAATAAAATGAAGCACTGAAACAAAACTGAGTAGAAAGGCTGAACTCTTGTATCAGATACCAAGAAACATTCATACCATTGTAATCTGAAAGAAGTAAAAAGCTTTGAAAGGCAGAGAATTGTGCACTTTTAACCCCCAAAACTAAATTAAAATGTACTTACGCCAAATGCCCAGATTATAAACAATCCAGATTCTTAAATACACCAAATTTATTTGAAATAGATATTCAAAAGCTCCTCTTTTTCTCCTCCTAATCTTCAAAGCTCAATCGGAGACCAGCCTTCCTCCTCCTTTCATTAGCTGGACATGTGTCAGCTCTCTCACATCTGCGATTTCTCACTGACTAGAGCTGCCTGTCCCATTCCAGGGAAACACAGATGGATCCCAGATGGGAAGGTCCTGCCAAACAGACCAGCTCTTCACCTTGCCAGAATCCCCAGATACAGTCAGTCTCTCTCTTTTTCTCCCTTCCTCCTGCTTCCTCTCTCTCCACTCCCCTTCCAACCCTCCCTGTTACCAGGGCTCTTTGCCAGCTGATGTCACTAAGTATACACCTCCCAGTGGCTCCTGGCCAATCTGACATTAACTTGTTAAATACGTATAATTTGTTTATGGCTGACAATAACAGCAACGATATTGTGAAAAACCTATCTGTGCAAGTCCCTAGTGGAACAACATGTAGAGACACACATAAGACACACAGACTCACATTTGTGGGAACATTCAAATGTTTAGCAATTACCATTTAAAGTCCTATATACTGTCTGGTTTCTGCTATTGTTTAATAGCTTCTGCTTTTTGAGCCAGTTTTTAAATCCTACATATAACAAATTCCTTCTTAAAATAAATTATTAAAAATCTGTTTTGAACATGTAATTGGATGAAAAATATAAAGTTGCAAATTAATTTAGGGAATATAAACAGAAATGTATGTAAATGATTCACACAAGCTGCCTCTCAGATCCAGACTTGGTAGCACTGCAAAACTGGCACGTGATTAAAATAAGACAATGCAGGCAACATGGTTCTGATGCTGTAAAGATTATAAATGGAAGATGGGGACACAATGCAAAATTGTTTTAAAACAGAGCAAATATAAATGTCAGAAATAACATAGTATTTAACATTAAAATAACTGCTAATAAAAGTGTCAACAACGAGTAGCCAAAATAAAAAATATTTTAAGAACAATAACAATGAAAATCCAGACAGATGACAGAAACCTGTAAGGTCAGAGTTTAATCCTTTATACCTCAAAGAACTAGCATATAATAGCTGCTCAATTTCTGCTACATAAAAATCGATGGTTGACAATTGATACAATACTATAGTTACACAAAATGTTACCACTGGGGCAAATTGGGTGAAGGGTCCAATGGACCTCCCTGTACATTTTTCATTATAACTTCCTGTGAATCTATATTTTAAAATAAAAAGTTAAAAGATTGTGGGTGGTGGTAGCCGAGTGCAGTGACTCACACCTGTAATCCCAACACTTTAGGAGACCAAGGCGGGCAGGTCGCTTGAGCTCAGGAGTTTGAGATCAGCCTGGGCAACATAGTGAGACCCCATCTTTAAAAATTAAAAGAAAAAGAAATGCCAGGCACTGTGGCTCATGCCAGTAATCCCAGCACTTTTGGAGGCTGAGGCAGGCGGACCACAAGCTCAAGAGATCAAGACTATCCTGGCCAACATAGTGAAACCCTGTCTCTACTAAAAATATAAAAATTAGCCTGGCGTGGTGTGCACCTGTAATCCCAGCTATTCAGGAGGCTGAGGCAGAAGAATCACTTGAACCCGGGAGGCGGAAGTTGCAGTGAGCTGAGATCATGCCACCGCACTCCAGCCTAGCAACAGAGTGAGAGACTCAGTCTCGGGGGGGGAAAAAAAAAGCAAAAGCAAAAAAAAGATGGTCAGGGGAAGTCGGGGGGTCTTGGCTTCTTCCTGGGTCACATTACATGACACATATCCTATACTAAAATCTACATGAACACAGATTCAGCATGAAAGAGTCCCTGCATATATATATATATAGTCAAACAGGTATGGTTATAATTCTCTAACCCTTAACCTTCTACCATACTTGGGATGTATCTGCAATCTGTAAACAATATTTCTATCATGACAATTTTTGACAAATAGGAAGGAAGGCTATTTCTGTCAAGGGCAACTTAATTACTAGGTTTTAGGGTTTCAGTTCATACCAGTGGTGGTGGTAATAATAGTAACAGCAGCAGGTTCAGTGTTTGTCATGTGTACTCACTAAGTGTCAGAGACTATTCTAATCCCCTGTATTGCCACCAAGGTCCTATATTAAAGGGCCTATAAGGTAGGTATTATTGTCTCAAAGTTATAGCTAAGGAAAGTAATGTTCAAACAAGTCAATGCCACATAGCTTGTGTCAGCATCAGGTTGTCTGAATCCACAGCTAGAGCACTACACCCCACTGCTGACAAGAAAACGAATCCAAAGATGCTGCTGGCTGTTTTGGATCACTTGTTCTCAAGGAAGCTAGCTACCATATTGTGAAGACACTCAAGCAGTCCTAAGAGCCTTCCACATGGGGAGAGACTGAGATATCTTGCCAATAGCCAGTATCAAATTGCTCACAATGTAAGTAAGCCATCTTGACAGCAGACACCAAGCCACTACCATCGAACTAAGGCACCTCAGAATTATGACCCATACAAACCACGTGAGATGATAAACACCGCTATTTAAAAAGGAAAAAAAGGTAGGTCTTTCACTTCCAGCACCCAGATTATGGATCCTAAATAGCATTTTCCAATAAAAGGAAGCAGAGCTCTTCAGGAAAACAGTCAACTCCAGGTATGGAGCAGAAAATGTACAAAACTTGTCATAACATAAAGCAATCAGGCTATCAATCACTTCTGGAGTTATGTCCCAAGGATGTAGAGACCGTTAATGTGAAGAGGCTCCCACTAAGAAAGATGGGGTAATTTGAGGAGCAATAAAAAATGACCACGTTGGATCACACCTGTAATCCCAGCACTTTGGGAGGCCGAGGCTGGTAGATCGCCTCAGGTCAGGAATTCCAGATCAGCCTGGCCAACATAGTGAAACTCTATCTCTACTAAAAATACAAAAATTAGCCAGGCGTGCTGGCACACACCTGTAGTTCCAGCTACTCAGGAGATTGAGGCAGGAGAATCACTTGAGCCAGGAGGCAGAGGTTGGAGTGAGCCAAGATTGAGCCATTATACTCCAGCCTGGGTGACAGAGTGACACTACATCTCAAAAAAAAAAAAAAAAAAAAAGGGAAAAATAGAGCTGCAATTGATTAAAACACAAGAAAATGTTTAAATCATGAGTTCATAATAATACCTATTAAAAAAAACTAATTAATTACTTATCTTTTGGAGAATACTAAAGAACCAAACTCATTCTAAAATCTGGTGAATCAAGCATTTCATCTGTCTTTCCTATATAAACTGTACCTCTAGTTAAACAAATAGTTGGAGAAAACTGTTGGGTTCAATGTTCGTTATTTCGATGATGGGCTAACTAGGAGCACAAACCTCACCATTATGCAATACATCCATGTAACAAAGCTGTACATGTACCCGAATCTAAAATAAAATAAAATCAACTATTTCACCCCCACCAAATTGTTGGTGAAAACTGATCTCTATTGAAATAATCCAACTAATAAATGACAAAATAATATACCTGGAATATCATCATTTTGCAAATCCCTAATGAAAAAATGAATCTAATGATCATCAATTGCCACTATTTTAAAATGAGAGACCCCTGGAAATTAATATGACTCCCAATGAAGCATGCTTGATGAAAACAAAAGTCAAACAATATGATTGAGCAAATTTATAAAACATTGAGGGGACATAGGAACATGTTAAGGGCAAGACGATGATGCAATTAGCAAAGTCTAGAATGTGGAAAACTTTATAGTCCAAGCAATCCAGATTCTTAGGGGAAAAAAAGGGAGATGGAGGGAGTTAGGAGCAGAACCTATACATTAAAAGAGAAATAAGGGCCTGGCACGGCAGCTCACACCAATAATCCTTGCGTTTCGGGAGACTGAGGAGGATGTCTCACTTGAGGCTAGAAGTTTTGAGACCAGCCTGGCCAACATGGTAAAACCTCATCTCTACCAAAACCACAAAAATAAGCTGGGCAAGATGGTGCACTCCTGTAATCCCAGCTACTCCGGTGGCTGAGGTAGGAGAATCGCTTGAACTTCGGAGGCGGAGGTTGCAGTGAGCCACGATCGCGCGACTGCACTCCAGCCTGAGCGACAGAGTGAGACAGAGTCCCCCCGCAAAAAAGAGAGAGAGATTGAGGCCGGGTGTGGTGGCTCACACTTGTAATCCCAGCACTTTGGGAAGCTGAGGTGAGTGGATCACGAGGTCAGGAACTTGAGACCAGCCTGGCCAACATGGTGAAAACCCATCTCTACTAAAAATACAAAACTTAGCCAGGCGTAGTGGCAGGCAACTGAAATCCCAGCTACTTGGGAGGCTGAGGCAGGAGAATCGCTTGAACCCAGCCAGGCGGAGGTTGCAGTGAGCCGAGATCATGCCACTACACTTCAGCTTGGGTGACAGAGCAAGCCTTTGTCCCAAAAAAGAAAAAAAAAAAGAGAGAGAGAGAGAGAGAAAAGACCTAAATGCGGCAGGGCACAGTGGTTCATGCCTGTAATCCCAACACCTTCAGAGGCCAAGGTGGAAGGATCACATGAGGCCAGGAGTTTGAGACCAGCTTGGGCAACATACCAAGATCCCATCTCTATAAAAAAAATCACAAAATTAGCCAGGCGTGTTGGGGCATGCCTGCAGTCCTAGCTACCTGAGAGGCTGAGGTGGGAGTATTGCTTGAGACGAGGAGTTTGAGGCTGCAGTGAACTATGATCCCACCACTGCACTTCAGCCTGGGTGACAGAGTAAGACCCTGTCTCTACTAAAAATACAAAAATTAGCTGGGAGTGGTGGCAGGCGCCTGTAATCCGAGCTACTCAGGAGGCTAACTCAGGAGAATCGCTTGAACCCAGCAGGCGGAGGTTGCAGTGAGCCAAGACCGTGCCATTGCACTCCTGCCTGGGCAACAGAGCAAGGCACCATCTCAAAAAAAAAAAAAAAAACCACAAAACACAAAAGATTAAGCATGCCACACCTTGTGCAAGAAAGTAAAAGACTGCTCAAAAATGACAGGGGTATGTCAAAACAACACTAAAGCCAGTTAGAAGGGACTACCACTGGAATTGTGCAACAATTTAACCATCAAAATAAATAACGACAGTAATGGATTAGAGCATAATCCATATTTTTTTTTAATAAATCAAGTAAGAAAGGAAAGCATTCTTTCATTAGAATGCCAATGTGTAATACAGAAACAATGATGGAATTGGAAAATTACCACTAGTAGGGTGCAGTTGCTCATGCCTATAATGCCAGCACTTTGGGAGGCCAAGGTGGAAGAATCACTTGACACCAGGAGTTTAAAATCTGCTTGGGCAACATAGTGAGACCTTGTCTCTACAAAACAAAATTAAAAATTAAAAAAAAGAAAATCACCACTAGATGCTGAGACTACTAGTGAATAGAAAACTAATGAAACACAGGACAACTTCATCATCTCTAAATATACCCAACAAATTACTTATTAATCACGAAGAGGAAAGTAGTAATTTTGCAGTGGAGTAACCTGGCAGACGTGACCTTAATAAAATGACTAACCAATCACTAATATTGAGACACAATGATCATGTGCCTCCTTAAATGAAACACTCTCCTTTCATAAAGGAGAATACATCTGTTCTATAGTATTCCAGCCCAAAATTCATAACATTAATGTAATCATAAGGTAACAGCAACGAAACCCAAACTAAGTACCAAAACAACTGGTCTGTATTCAAAATTGGAATGGTCAAGAAAAGGAAAATACCAGGAGGGGAGAAGAGGAGGAAGGCAGGCTGAGGAACTGTTTTAGAATAAGAAAAGTTAAAGAGCTGCGGTGGCTTACACTTGTAATCCCAAAACTTTGGGAGGCCAAGGAAGGTAGCTTACTTAAGGTAAGGAGTTCGAGACCAGCCAGAGCAACATAGTGAGACTTCATCTCTACAAAAAGTAAAAAAATTAGACAGGCATGATGGCATGCACCCATAGTCCCAAGTATTCAGGAGGCTGAGGCTGGGGGATCGCCTGAGCCCAGGAGGTCAACACTGCAGTGAGCCATTATTGCACCACTGCACTCTAGCCTGAGCACCACAATGAGACCCTGTCTCTAAGAAAGAAGAAAAAATGAAAGAGGAAAGGCAAGGAAAAAAGAGACATGCCAGTTAAATTCAGTGTGTGATGACAGACTGAATTGGATTGAGGTATAACAGATATAAAAGACATCACTGCAACAATTCATAAAATCTGAATATAGTCTGTGAATTAGGTTAACAGTATGGTATCATTA